CATCATAAGGAAGTTTGGGCAAAATAGTCAATTGTGCTGATGGAAGACAAAGAAGGAAAATTTGTAATTATGGGTCATATTTAAAAAAATTGCAGACTTTAGACGATCATGAAAAGCACAGGTTTATAACTGAGGACAATGGAGAGACCTTAAAGAGCAGACTCATGTATTGACTATATCAGTATTTATGAAACGCTTAACTGGAGAAATGGAAAATAAAGACATTTATTCAGACTCCAAAAGCCTATGACTGGCTTAAAATTCACTAAGAAGATGCCCCATTTGGAAGTATTGTTAAAAATAAGGGTTGTGTGTTGCCCAGAATATCATAATTTATTTGGAACAGATTTGAGCAAATCTCTGAATCTTGTAAGTTTCCAATAGGAAGTTCTTATGAATTCATCAAACCATTAGGCAAGGTGATATACCATGGGGAATTGGTTATGGGCTTCGATATAATGTTGATGCAGACTAACATTCAGTTAAGAAGGGATAACGCATTCGATCCGAAGCCACAGATTGAAATATGGTGGGATTAAGATGTGTCGAAGAATTCTTAGCTTAAATTAGCTAGACAACTTCAAGAGTATCTTCTTTCAGTTTCAGGTGAGGATACTCTACTAATACCTTTGGTCAAACTTTTAATACTAAAAGGATGATGTAACGTGAAATTGTCAAGAAATTCTTGAGAACAAAGCTTTTATTGAGCTATATGGAGGGAAAATTTTACAGAATAGTGCCTTTTCTTCTATACGTGCTTGAGAGAAGGATTCAGCCCATGATGATAATATTCATTTACATTACCACACTATTGTTCCTTGAAAAGTAGATTTTCGAGATTATCTGTCGATCTAGCATAAGTGTTGAGGGAGTGATAGTCGAATTTTCCCACAATTATATGAATAGGCCTTATTTTTCCATTGAAGTTCACATATCTTTGCTTCCCAACAGGTATTCTTATCCAAGTTTGACTGCCGTATCGACATTACCTAGGTCTTATCAACACCCACAGTGGGACTCGAACCCGAGTAATGAATACAGCTCTTACAACAGATCTACTGGTAATCTCTAAAACCTACTTATGAAGCGAAAACTAAGTAAGTAGTCGATTGCTGTAGCAAAGACAACTTTGCTTCGTCGACAATTCCAGCGCAGTAATGGAATATGGGCAAGGTCTAGGCTTTATTGAAATGCACTTTTGTCCTATGATCAAAGTGCACTCGTGAAAATGTGGCGTAGTGGTCAACTTATCAAGACCACACGGGTTTGAATTCCATAGTGGATGCTAAAATAGGCGAGGACAAAAGTACAGTCCAGCCTGGATTATAATTTCTTTTGGAAGACAATGCCATGCGAAATTCAATTAAAAAACGAAGTCTACTTACAGCATTGTGGAAAAGTTCAACTATTAACGAAGCGCGGTGAATACCTATTGAAGAAAAGTGGGACTAAGCTTCAATCGCGCCTATAAAATAGGTCTAATTGAAAATAGCATGGCTATCAGCAAGCAGTTTCAGATCATTGACAATTTGCGTTTGCATATTCACTTTTGACAGAATTTATGGCAAATAGACAAGCAAAATGACAAAAATAAGCGACTAACAAACCTTTGACAACTGTTCCAGGGTAAAGGTTGGCGGCCAATTGTTCACTCCAAGAAGCACAGACTCGGGACCCAACACGAAGCTCATCCGCTATTGAATCAACCAGAATTTCACGAACCGCTTGTTGCACCACCTGCCAGCCAAACAGCATTACTTCGGATTGACGGCGTCGGCTACATTCATGCACATGAGCATTTAGTGCGGACGAGGGGGGAGAGAGGTAAATAAAGAGTGGATAATGAGTAAATGGCAAAATTATCGGAAATTTCAGCATTATAAGCTTACGGTCTGAGCTACACTATGAGATGTGAGATCTGGGAAGATGGTGGGGATATGAAAAGATACGAAAGCTAATTCGCCTATTCGAACTATAAGAGGCATAAAATGAAGAATAACGATTCAATCGCAATACTCAACAAGCAGGAGTAATACAGGAAAGTAGATACAAAGAATAAATAAGTTTGAGAGTTAGATACATGAATGATTATTTTATCATCTGGCCTCATGGTAGAGAAAGCCTAGCTAGTTTCCTGCTTTCTCGTAACCAACATAAAAAGAACATCAGGTTCACAATGGAAATATAAGAGAATGGGTCCTTATGGTCATTAGAGAAGAGGCTAAGTTAGAAAGAGATTTTTATAGGAAGCTATTTTCAACCATAGCTACAAAACTACAGCTGGAATATTGAAGTCAATGATCATGAGTATGAGACTGGCGAATAGTAACCATTTTACTAAAGAGTTGGAACGACTGAAAGATTTATTCCTGAAAAATAATTATCCTTCGGTTATATTTATCTACTGAGAAATAACTTTTCAGACAGTGACTTTTTAGTCAAAGATAGAGAAGCTGAGATCCTTCTCACGCTCTAATTTTGCCGTCATCCCTTCTTCCTAAAAAGACAGGCGAACTAGTAAAAAAGTGTGGATAAAAATAGTTTTCAAAGAAACCTCCACACTTGCACCGATTCTGTCAGCCTTCAGAGAGAAATATGGCCCATTATCGAGATCGGGCTGCTAAAAGATTCTCTACTCGTGTGGTCGACCCTATATGGGTAAGACACGTAGAACAATTCGTTAAAGATTATAAAACACAAAAATGGTCTTAAA